TCCTATCACAGGGAACACATTTATATCGAGTTCTTAAGGATGTATACAAGTACTACGCAAAAATTTGACATCTCATCTAGCAAAACTGCACTTTAAACCTTCCCTTGACGCTAGTGCTTCTTCAAATAATTAAGACCCATCTTCTTAATCAATCTAATTGTCTCATTCGCTACATGAAAAGTTCAACTGTGATACATTCTGAGATATTTTGCGTTTCGCCGATCTAATGAATCCATGTATTGCATAACCAGCTCCTGTACGAGGTTTAAGATATAAAGAAATAACTCAAAAGCTGACCGGATCAGAAGAGGCAATTACAAATTCCTCACATGCACACTTAACATCCCATTTATAAAATGGAACTTATGACATGCACAGCGCAAAACTGATTTAAACCTTCCACTAGGAAACACCAGTTTTGAAGCCTAATTGAAGACTCAGTCTTTCTTGCTTATCAGTGGAATACAATATCGACATGATGGAAGAATTAAACATGTGCAACATCTGGGAATTTTGTAGACGTTCAGCCATCTAGTGGCTTTATCAGTACAATACATGGATACAGTTTGAAAAGTGAAAGAAATATATACAAGACCGTGGAAGACGAGGTAATCAGTCCCTCAGCCTAGCAGCAGGTGACGAGTACCACAGTCTTGAAGAATCTGAGCACGGGAACGAAGATTGACACTTATACTAGTATCAGAAGAGGGAGGTGCAGCAGACGAAGGTACTTCCACTTGCAGTGTTACCCAGTGGAAGTAGGTCATGCCAGAGTTGGGCCAGGTTAAGCAGGTTGTGGTAATGTACTGTGTACCAAGATTCCATGATGTTGCTGTATCTGACAAACTGTATATCAGTGGTATACAGTACCGACAAGATGAAAAATTAAGACATGTGCAACATCTGGGTGCATACCAGTAAAATACCCAGATGTATTACAAGTGTCTAATTTTCCAGTCACTATCTTGTGGTTTCTGAGAGACATGTTCTAAAAACACCTGCGTGTTAAGTTGGCACTCTCTCAGATTTCGTATCGTCAAATTATTAACGTTGAAAGGTGAAACCAACATGAGTGAAGCACTTTGAAATTATGGCACGAAAATCAATATTTCAGTTTTCCCAATTTTATTTTTAAAATAAAACAATTTGGAACCAAGACAGACGACAATGTATCCAAAATTTTCTCTAAGCAGAATTTACCAGCGTTAAAAGTGTAAGTAGTTTTTGTAATAAAGTTGGTAGAATTACCGACAATATATAAAGTAAAAGGAACACAAGTGCAACTATCGTGACATTTTATTTTGGCAACGTAGTTTTTATTTAAAATTTAGGAACATAACGGCCTGGCAAAGCTCCTGGTGATCCAAACGTTGCCGCAATAAAATATGGCATTAGTTGCACATGTGTCCCTTTACCTAACGTGTTAGTTATTACTTACACCCATTTTTTCCCTTGACTTTTAAGTAGACTACTACAGTAATACTATATGTTACAATACTAGTATTCTTAGCGTCTGGCTGTTTTCTGCATCAGCCGACCAAGTCCACTACTTCAGAAGGCAAGGAGACGCTTAGAATACAAGTACTGTAACTTGTAAACCTAGTGTACTATTCAAAATTCGAGGGGGGAGGAGGGAAGTGATGAAAATTTATACTTGAGTAACATAAAACAACGGGAACAATACAGTAGGCCTACTGGCCCAGTCTAGGCAGATCCTCTGAAATCCAACTTCTCACTCGTATGTTATATTTAGCTTTTGTTTTAAAGCTACCCAACATAGTTTAAACGATCAGAGAGCTGAGGAGACAGAGTAGCCTGCCTAAAAGCATGCAGACATGGCCAAGACGTTCAGGTGATCAGACCGAACATCAGAATGGAAAAGAAATGTTACCCAAACAATTTTGACTGTGGAATGATTGTTGGTGCGAGACGAGGTGGTTCAAATATCTCGAGTCATGTCAAAAACTGTTGATCTGGGATTTTCGCGCACTACGCTCTCTGGAGTCGAAAGAAAATTGCGTGACAGCTCAAATAGCCATGTGTTAAAACAGTGGTATGCAGAAGAGCATCTCTGAAAGCACAACATGTCGGAACCTGAAGTGGATGGATTTTAGCAGCATATCACACTGGCTTCAGCTTCTGTCAGAACAGGAAACTGAGGCTACAGTGGGTACAAGCTCACCTAACCAGGTCAGCTGAAGATCGGAATAACGTAGCCTTGTCTGACGAGTCCCGATTTCTGTTGCGATATGCAAACGACAGGTTTAGAATTTGGTGTAAACCTTTAGGATGTGGTGGAATGGGAGATTCGCAGCATGAAAGTGAAGCCGACAAATCTGTAGCAACTGCAGCATAAAGATCTCTTAGAAATGTTTCCAGCACCATGTTGAATCCATGCCTCGAAGAATTCAAGCTGTTCTGGAGGCAAAGGGAGGCCATACCCAGTACTAGAAGGGTGTACCCAATAAAGTGGCCACTGAGTATATAGGAATAAGCAGAATACTGTGTCCTTGTACATACCGAGCCACATTTCGTAGTCATTCAGCCAGAGCTAACAATAGTTAGTTGTATCAGCAGCATCAATTTTGACCCAACTGTTTTATCTCATTGCACATTAAGCTTTCGCTGTACATTTATGTCTAGAACAGAGGTGTACTACTGTGTCTGATGACGTGATTAGTTTATACACGAATCAAATCATGAATTAAATCCTATAAAAGCACCTGCCATCCCATACTCCTGATAACAGTACACAAATAACCCGCACATGGGAGAGAGGAGCTAACGACGACATTTCTGTCCGACTTGCACCATTTACAAAGTCAGTGTGACTTTGTAAATGGTATTGTGCCTTTTAGTTATTTATTCTCCTGATAACGGGATTTTCCTCTAACAGACAAGACAGTTTTTCCTTACCGAGTGTAGGCGATATGAGTGTTTTCCTTGAAGGTTTAGTCAAGGTATTCGACCTTCCACATAGCACTGGTTATCATTACCATACTTGATGAATGCACATTCTAGTACTGATCAAGAGAACGTACCATTGTGTCTGCTGTTTGTGCTACGGGACGACGTCCTTTAGAGATCCCGAGAATACCGTAAATAAGCCACTTAATTAATGCACCTGGTTTCCTGAAGTGAGCCCAGAGAGAGAGAGGAGAAAGAGAAGGAGGAGAAAGAAAGAGAGCAGGTGAAAGAGAGAGAGAGAAGAGAGCAGGGGGAAAGAGAGAGCAGGGGGAAAGAGAGCAGGGGAAAGAGAGAGAGCAGGGGGAAAGAGCGAGCAGGGGGAAAAGAGCGAGCAGGGGGAAAGAGCGAACAGAGGAAGCAGGGAGAGCGAGCAGGGGGAGAGAGAACAGGGGAAAAGAGAGAGCAACAGGGGGAAAAAGAGAGAGCAAACAGGGGAAAGAGAGAGAGCGAACAGGGGGAAAGAGAGAACGAACAGGGGGAGAGAGAACGAACAGGGGGAGAGAGAACGAACAGGGGGAAAGAGAGCGACGAACAGGGGGAAAGAGAGCGAGTGAGCAGGGGGGGAGAGAGACAAGCAGGGGGAAAGAAGAGAGAGCGAGCAGGGGGAAAGAGAAGGAGGCGGGGAAAGAGAAAGAACGAGCAGGGGGAAAGAGAGGGAGAGCGAGAGCTGGGGAAAGAGGGGGAGAGAGCGAGCTGGAGGAAAGAGGAGAGAATGAGTTGGGGGAAAGAAAGAGCGAGCTGGAGAAAGGGAGAGAGAGAGAGAGAGAGAGAGAGAGAGAGAGAGAGAGAGAGAGAGAGAGAGAGAGAGAGAGAGAGAGAGAAGAAATGCCAGCTGCTCTAATCTCCATCAATCACCAGCTAAGAACTATATCAGCTTGGGGAAATAGATGGCAAGTAACATTTGCACCTGAGAAAACACAAATGATGGTCTCTAGGCATCAAGATGGTAATGCCGGTGCAGTAGTAAGGATGAATGGGAGGGTGTTGGCCCCTGGGGAAGAAGTTGATATCCTTGGGGTGAAATTTGACTCCAAACTGACCATGAAAATCCACGTTGTAAATCTTGCAAACAAGGCAGCCAGGAAGCTTACAGCACATCGCCGTATCTCGCATATGCTTGACAGTAGGGGTTGCAAGATTTTGTACGAGGCACAAGTACGCTCACACCTTGAGTATGCTCCACTTTCTTGGTTTGCCTGCCCCCCCCCTCTCATCTGCGACTGCTTGACAGAGTAGAGAACAGAGCATCTCTCAGGTGAGCATCTCTCACCTGGACCCATCCTGGATAGATCTGTCATTTCAGCAGAGCCTTCAACATAGGAGGGATGTGGGTGGCCCTACTGTTATGCACAAGGCCAATATTGTAAAAGTACCACACTTGGATCCACTTCGAGGACAGCGTGAAGCAAGTTTCTATACCACAAGACGGCAGAAAGCAGCAACTTCACTCTGGCTGTACCTTTCTACAGAACATCACTCCATCTGAGATCATATATACCCAGGATGACTCGAGTATGGAACACATTCGTACAACATTATGATGTCAACGAGATAAAGTCAGTTGATCAGATGAAAATGCTGGCCCACAGATGGCTCTAACTTCATCCTGTTTCCCTACTTGTATGTTTCATAACAATAAAAATGCTTTCAAATGAACTGATGTAGGTAACAGCTCTTAAATTGTCAATAAGATTAGGAATCCTTAACTTGTAAATAGCTTGCCAGTAAAGCTAGGGATCCTTAACCTAACCTTGTCAAACCCTTTGTAAAAAAAAAACAGGGGGAGAGAGAGCAGGGAGAGAGAGAGCAGGGAAAGAGGAGAGAGAGAGAGAGAGAGAGAGAGAGAGAGAGAGAGAGAGAGAGAGCGCAGAGACCAGTTCTCTTATAACAATATCATTTGAGGTAAAGTAATAACCAGTGAGTTCGTCAGTAATGTCAAACTTCCATAACTAATCACACAGGAATTTTCAACACTGTACCAGCACAATGGAATGCTCATGTTATTTATTAAACATGGATCTTTGTTGCTACAGGGAGCGTCTAAGCTGACGAAAGAGGACATCGAGAGGGTCTTCGCACTCTACGACAGGGTGAGTGTAGGGGGGGGGGGAAGGGGGGACTCATTTTCTGAGTGTGTCTGCAATCCTGTGAGTGTGCGTGCGTTTGGCAATAATTTTGTGAATGACTATGTTTAACCTTGATCCTGCGAGTGATAGTGTGTAACCTTGATCGTGTGGGTGATTGTGTGTGTTTGACTGTGATTCTGTGATTGTGTGTGTGTGTTTGACGATGAGCCTGTGTGTGTGTGTGTGTGTGTGTTTGACTGAGCTTGTGTGTGTGTTTGTGTATGACTATGAGCCTGTGTGTGTTTTGACTGTGTTTGATTAGAGCCTGTGAGTGTGTGTTGCTGGTTTTGACTATGAGCCTGTGAGTGAATGTTTGACTGTGTGTTTTGACTATGAGCCTGTGAGTGTGTGTGTTTGACTGTGTTTTGACTGATCTTGTGAGTCTTTGACTGTGTTTGACTATGAGCCTGTGAGTGTATGTGTGACTATGAGCCTGTGAGTGTGTGTTTGACTATGAGCCTGTGAGTGTGTGTTTGACTATGAGCCTGCGAATGTGTGTGTGACTTTGTTTTCTTTTAACTATGAGCCTGTGTGTGTGTGTTTGACTGTGTTTGACTGAGTCTGTGATGTGTTTGTGTTTTGACTATGAGCCTGTGAATGTGTGTTTGACTGTGTTTGCTATGAGCCTGTGAGTGTGTGTTTGACTTTTGACAGACCTGTGAGTGTGTGTGATGTTTGACTATGAGCCTGTGAGTGTGTTTGACTGTGTTTTGACTATGAGCCTGGAGTGTGTGTTTGACTGTGTTTGACTTGAGCCTGTGTATATGTGTTTGACTGTGTATTTGACTATGAGCCTGTGAGTGTGTGTTTGACTGTGTTTTGACTTTGATCCTGTGGTGTTTGACTGTGTTTGACTATGAGCCTGTGATGTGTGTGTTGACTGTGTGTTTGACTATGATGCCTGTGAGTGTGTGTTTGACTGTTTGATTATGAGCCTGTGAGTGTGTGTGTTTTGACTTGACTGATTTGTGAGTCTTTGACTGTGTTTGACTTTGACTGTGAGTGTGATGTGTGACTAGAGCCTGTGAGTTGTGTTTGACTATGAGCCTGTGAGTGTGTGTTTGACTTGTTGACCTGCGATGTGTGTGTGACTTTGTTTTCTTTTAACTATGAGCCTGTGGGTTGTGTGTTGACTATGAGCCTGTGAGTGTGTGTTTGACTATGAGCCTGTGGTGTTGTGTTTGACTATGAGCCATGTGTGTGTGTTGTTTACTTGTTTGACTATGAGCCTGTGTGTGTGTTTGACTGTGTTTGACTATGAGTCTGTGTGAGTGTTTGACTGTGTTTTGACTATGAGCCTGTGAGTGTGTGTTTGACTGTGTTTGACTATGAGCCTGTGAGTGTGTGTTTGACTGTGTTTGACTATGAGCCTGTGAGTGTGTGTTTGACTATGTTTGACTATGAGCCTGTGAGTGTGTGGTTTGACTTTTTGATTATGAGCCTGTGAGTGTGTGTTTGACTGTATTTGACTATGAGCCTGTGAGTGTGTGTTTGACTGTGTTTGACTATGATCCTGTGAGTGTGTGTTTGACTGTTTGACTATGAGCCTGTGAGTGTGTGTTTGACTGTGTTTGACTATGAGCCTGTGAGCGTGTGTTTGACTGTTTGACTATGATCCTGTGAGTGTGTGTTTGACTGTTTGACTATGATCCTGTGAGTGTGTGTTTGACTGTTTGACTATGATCCTGTGAGTGTGTGTTTGACTGACTATGATCCTGTGAGTGTGTGTTTGACTGTTGACTGATCTGTGAGTGTGTTTGACTGACTATGATCCTGTGAGTGTGTGTTTGACTGTGACTATGATCCTGTGAGTGTGTGTTTGACTGTGTTTGACTATGAGCCTCTGAGTGTGTGTTTGACTGTGGGCTTGTTGGTAATATCGTGAGTGATTGTGTGTTTCTGACTGAGCTGTGCGTATGTTCGATTATGACTCTTGCTATTGTATATATTTTTCTTATTGATTTTTGTGTACATGTGTGCTTGCATGTAACTATGACCCTACAATTGGGAGTATTTATACATGATCCCATGGCTTACCAGGCTGGGGTTTGGTAACACTGATAACAATGTTACCATTGCAGAGAGTGAAATGTGAGTATAGAGTGGCCAGGAATGACGTAAGTCATGCAGTGTGTCCAGGGGACACACATGAATCATGCAGTGTGTCCAGGGAACACACGTGAAGCATGCAGTGTGTCCAGGGGACACGTGAAGCATGCAGTGTGTCCAGGGGACACACGTGAATCATGCAGTGTGTCCAGGGGACACACATGAATCATGCAGTGTGTCCAGGGGACACACATGAATCATGCAGTGTGTCCAGGGGACACACATGAATCATGCAGTGTGTCCAGGGGACACACATGAATCATGCAGTGTGTCCAGAGGACACATGAATCATGCAGTGTGCCCAGGGGACACACATGTGTCCAGGGGACACATGAATCATGCAGTGTGTAAAGAGGACACACATGCAGTGTGTACAGAGGACACACATGCAGTGTGTACAGAGGACACACATGCAGTGTGTACAGAGGACACACATGCAGTGTGTACAGAGGACACACATGCAGTGTGTACAGAGGACACACATGCAGTGTGTACAGAGGACACACATGCAGACAGTGTGTACAGAGGACACACATGCAGTATGTACAGAGGACACACATGCAGACAGTGTGTCCAGAGGACACACATGCAGTCTGTGTGTACAGAGGACACACATGCAGACAGTGTGTCCAGAGGACACACATGCAGTGTGTACAGAGGACACACATGCAGTGTGTACAGAGGACACACATGCAGACAGTGTGTCCAGAGGACACACATGCAGTGTGTACAGAGGAGACACATGCAGTGTGTCCAGAGGACACGCATGCATCATGCAGGCAAATATTTATTACAGCGTGCTACATCAAATAGCCATTAGGGTAAAATATTCGTGATATAAATCACCTCTACGTGTGGAAAGTTATCATACTTGTATTTTATAGTACATAAAAATTGAGGATTAAAGGTGCTTACGTACGAAGGTTCGTGCCCACGTTCCTCTGTGTGTACTCACCTATTTGTGGTTGCAGGGGTCGAGTATTAGCTCCTGGCCCCGCCAGTGTGTGTGTGGTGAGAGAAAGGTGTGGTGTGGCGAGAGAAAGGTGTGTGTGTGTGAGAGAGGTTGTGTGGTGTGTGTGTGTGTGTGTGTGTGTGTGTGGTGTGTGTGTGAGAGGTGTGTGTGTGTGAGAGGTGTGTGTGTGTGTAGAGGTGTGTGTGTGTGTGTGAGAGGTGTGTGTGTGTGAGGTGTGTGTGTGTGTGAGAGATGTGTGTGTGTGAGAGAGGTGTGTGTGTGTGTTGTGTGTGGAGGGAGGTAGGTGTGTGTGTGTGTGTGTGTGTGTGTGTGTGTGTGAGAGAGGAGAGAGAGAGAGTAGAGAGAGGATGGGAGAGAGAGAGAGAGAGAGAGAGAGGGAGGGAGGTGTGTGTGAGTGAGAGATTGTGTGTGTGTGTGTGTGTGTGTGTGTGTGTGTGTGTGTGTGTGTGTGTGTGTGTGTGTGTGTGTGTGTGTGTGTGTGTGTGTGTGTGTTGGGGGTGCTCTTGCGTATGTGCGTCATCAGGCTAATTTGCATGCCTTTGTGTGTGTACATTAGTTCAAAAATACCAAAGTTGTTCAGTTATTTTACACTGAATTTAATGAGCTCATTAAACTGGTTACAACATTCAACTTTTTTAACATAGCGCCACGGAAGCAAGGTGATAGTATCAATGTGTTATCTTAGATAAGTCACTGATACTATCACCTTGCTCTATTCCCGTTCCGCGATCTATTCACAAAAGGTGAATAGATCACGGAACGGGTAGAGACGAACCCTCTGTGCTAAAGCATGTGAGAAGGCAAAGCTGCCATATTAAGTAGGCAAAGGAGATAAACCTTAAGAGAGTGGGTAGATGACCCAAGTGATGATGTAGAGGAGGACTCCACTTATACAGCAGTTTAGGTTCTATCTGGAGTTTATCTGGAGAAGTTCCGGGGGTCAACACCCCCGCGGCCCGGTCTGTGACCAGGCCTCCTTAGGTCAGTGTCCCAGGATGCGACCCACACCAGTCGACTAACACCCAGGTACCCATTTTACTGATGGGGAACATAGACAACAGGTGGAAAGAAACACGTCCAATGTTTCTACTCTGGCTGGGAATCGAACCCAGGCCCTCGCCGTGTGAAGCGAGAGCGTTAACCACCAGGTTACTGCTGTAAAATAAAAATCGCTTTAAAGTGAAACACAGCATTTTTCACTGTCAAATGCACATAAAAGCCTGATTACATGTTAACACTATCAAAATTAAGTGAGCATTGCCTAAAAATGTATATACAGTACACGTATTACTTACCTTAAAATATTTTCGTTCTTAGTTTATAGTGATTGGTGAATGTATATATTTTAGAAAGTCTAAATAAATGAAGAATGGGAATAATTGAAAGCCGCTGCGTTAGCGAAACGCTGTAAAGCGGGGCCTTCCTGTATTCACAAATGTTGTGTTCACAAAATACTGTGTTCACTCGTAAACAAGTCATAAACAACTTGACGAAAAAATTTGCCGTTATTAATGCTTTTGTTAACTGTTACAGGATAACAACGGTACCATAGAGAACGACGAGTTGAATGGTTTCCTGAAGGACCTGCTGGAGCTCGTGAAGAAGGTGAGATGAACGTTACAAGTGGTGCTACTAATCTGTTATGATGTAAATCGTTAAGAAAACTAACAAGATGAAGAATGAGACACTTGTGCATCTCTACTGTAGATACGTTTCGCAGGCCAGTGTTTTTTTCAGTCCTATACAAAGAACTGTGGAAGACGATGAGTAGTTTAAGATAATCAGTCCCTCGGCCTGAAGTCGATTGATTAACTCTAACTCATTTTCAACGGTTCTTTTCTGTCTTGGACTGAAGACGCCACTGGCTGGTTTTAACGTTTCCAAAATAAAGATTTCTATATGTTACATAAGTGTCTCATTCAGGTAGTCTGTTTATTGGTATCATGGTCGTGGTAGTGGTATAATTTAGCTGCTTAGGAATATTTTGCAGTTTTCACGTAAATTGTGGAATTTGTTTTAGTATGGTGATAGAGTTTTTTGTTTTTGTGATGGGTTATGGAATTAGTTATGATGATGATAACTGTTGTCAGATATTGTTTTCTGGTTATATTTATTGTAGAGATGTATGATGTAGCGGTGATATTTGTTGTAATAATGAGTTTTGTGCTGGTATTTGTTATAATGACGGTATTTGTAATACTTACAATGACTGTATTTATGATGTTCATTATGATGATGTTTGATATAATGATGTTTTGCTGTATAATTTGTAATAGTGACACTAGTTATAATGATTATAATGGTATTACTTTTAACACTATTTGTTATAATGATGACATTTGTTTTAATCATAATATTTGTAATTATATTTTGTAATTATGAGGATTTTTGATATTTATAATGACATTTATTGTCATATTATAATGATATTTGTTGTAATGATAGTTATTACAATGACAGTATTTGTTGTAGTGATAGTTATTACAATGACAGTATTTGTTGTAGTGATAGTTATTTCAATATTTGTTGTAATGTAAATTTTATAATAATATTTATGACCAAATTTGTTGCAATATTTGTTATATTCTATTTATTGTGATTTACAATGATATTATGACTATTATGTTTATAATTTGTTGTGATAACGATATTTATATTGATATTTGTTATAATGACATTCGTTATAGTTATGCTATTTGTAATAATGAAATTTGTTGAGATATTTCTTATAAGGACAGTTGAAGTATTTCTCATAATAATGATAATTGCTATAATGATATTGATATAGTTTATCATGATATTTGCTGTAATAAAGATATCTGCTGTAATATTATATATAATGAAAAAAAGTTACGACATTTATGATGATTTTTCTAATATTTTTATATTTCTTATAATGATGCTATTTATCATGTTATAATAATGATATATGTTTCAGTTATATTTATTGCAATTCCTGTTATAATGATGACATTTATTATACGTTAAAATATCCATTGTATTGATGGTATTTATAATGACGTTATGTTTGTAATAGTCGTATTTATTAAAATGATGAAATTGATGTTGTTAAAATGAGGGAATTTATTGTAATGACGGTGTTCATTGTAATGATATTTGTTATAATGAGAATATTTAAAGTGATGATGCTAATTACAGTAATTGTTAAAATGATATTTGTAGTAACGATGTTATTTTTTTAACTATAGTATTTATATCTGTAATAAATGATATTTGATAAAATATATATTATAATGATGGTAATTATGTTAATATTTAACAAGAAAAAGGCACAATACCTCTGGGTTGTCTTTTTTCTCTCTCGTGATTCTGTTCCTTTATTATTTATTTCATCCCTTCCCCTTACCTCTGTGCACTTGTTCAACCTCTGTGGGCACCTAGCTCCCTTGTGGGCACCTAGCTCCCTTGTGGGCACCTAGCTCCCATGCGGTGCTCCCCATTCTTTGTATTTGACTGGCTCCTCCTCCTTAATTCCCGACTACGACCACTACTACTACTACTACCACTACTACTACTGCTACTACCTCTTCCTGCCTATATATACCCGTCCTGCTGCACTTCTGGTTAGTGTGACTTTGTAAATGGTCCAAGTCGGACCGAAACGTCGTCGTAAGCTCCTCTTTTCTATGTGCGGGTTATTTGTGTATGTTAATATTTGTTATAATTATATTTATAATATTTGTAATAATGGTATTTGTCATAATTATGTTATTTGTTATTTTTTGATGGCGATATTTGTAGTATTGATACTGATGTATCTAGCAATAATAATGATAATAATATTTTTATAATGATTTTTGCTGTGGTGGTGCCTGATATTGCTAGTATTCTTACTGAATTATTATTATTATTATTACATGCGTGGAAAAGTATTAAAGATGTATATTTACAAGAGAATGGAAAGCAATCAGATTCAAGCTATGGAGAATGTGGCTCCAATTCCTCGGAAAAGGAGCCTCACACTGGTATCATTGCATCCTCCCCTCCACTGAAGGTGGTATTTGCTGTTATGGTAATGATGACATCTGTTGGAAAAATGTTTGTTGTAATATTCGGTTTATAGAAACTGGCACATAATGAGTCCGGTTAAATTTAATAGGCTTCAAAATAGCTTACGTTGTAAGGATCTATTGAGCCAGATAGAATTTTATTTCTGATAAAATGATCGCAGTTGGACAGGAATTTGCAGAATACTGCCAATCAGAACAGATGAATTATTAAGAGTTAAATGTGCTTGGTTTATCTACACATAGTAAGGAAAGTTTGTTGGGAACAAGGATATATGTGCAACTAATGTGATATTTTATTGTGGCAACGTTTTCCTCTCCAGGAGGTTTGTCAAGCTATTTTGCTCCTGGAGAGCGAAACGTTGCCACAGTAAAATGTCACAATAGTTGTACATGTGTCCTTATACCTAAAATAGTCGGTAGTAGGTAGTAGGTTGGTAGACAGCAACCACCCAGGGAAGTACTACCGTCCTGCCAGATGACTGTGAAACAGAAACCTGTAACTGTTTTGCATGATGGTAGGATTGCTGGTGTCTTTTTCTATCTCATAAACACGCTAGATAACAGGGATATCTTGCTACTCCTACTTACACTTTGGTCACACTTCACAGACACGCACATGCATATATATATATACATACATCTAGGTTTTTCCCCTTTTTCTAAATAGCTCTTGTTCTTCTTTATTTCTTCTATTGTCCATGGGGAAGTGGAAAAGAATCTTTCCTCCGTAAGCCATGCGTGTAGTATGAGGCGACTAAAATGCCGGGAGCAATGGGCTAGTAACCCCTTTTCCTGTAGACATTTACTAAAAAAGAGAAGAAGAAAAACTTTATAAAACTGGGATGCTTGAATGTGCGTGGATGTAGTGCGGATGACAAGAAACAGATGATTGCTGATGTTATGAATGAAAAGAAGTTGGATGTCCTGGCCCTAAGCGAAACAAAGCTGAAGGGGGTACGGGAGTTTCGGTGGGGGGAAATAAATGGGATTAAATCTGGAGTATCTGAGAGAGTTAGAGCAAAGGAAGGGGTAGCAGTAATGTTAAATGATCAGTTATGGAAGGAGAAAAGAGAATATGAATGTGTAAATTCAAGAATTATGTGGATTAAAGTAAAGGTTGGATGTGAAAAGTGGGTCATAATAAGCGTGTATGCAACTGGAGAAGAGAGGAATGTAGAGGAGAGAGAGAGATTTTGGGAGATGTTAAGTGAATGTATAGGAACCTTTGAACCAAGTGAGAGAGTAATTGTGGTAGAGGACCTGAATGCTAAAGTAGGAGAAACTTTTAGAGAGGGTGTGGTAGGTAAGTTTGGGGTGCCAGGTGTAAATGATAATGGGAGCCCTTTGATTGCACTTTGTATAGAAGGGGATTTAGTTATAGGTAATACATATTTTAAGAAAAAGAGGTAAAAATAAGTATACAAGATATGATGTAGGGCGAAATGACAGTGGTTTGTTGGATTATGTATTGGTAGATAAAAGACTGTTGAGTAGACTTCAGGATGTACATGTTTATAGAGGGGCCACAGATATATCAGATCACATTTTAGTTGAAACTACACTGAGAGTAAAAGGAAGATGGGATACAAGGAGAATAAAAGCTTCAGAGAAGAGAGAGGTGAAGGTTTATAAACTAAAAGATGAGGCAGTTAGGGTAAGATATAAACAGCTATTGGAGGATAGATGGGCTAATGAGAGCATAGGCAATGGGGTCGAAGAGGTATGGGGTAGGTTTAAAAATGTAGTGTTAGAGTGTTCAGCAGAAGTTTGTGGTTACAGGAAAGTGGGTGCGGGAGGGAAGAGGAGCGATTGGTGAATGATGATGTAAAGAGAGTAGTAAGGGAGAAAAAGTTAGCATATGAGAAGTTTTTACAAAGTAGAAGTGACGCAAGGAGGGAAGAGTACATGGAGAAAAAGAGAGAGGTTAAGAGAGTGGTGAAACAATGTAAAAAGAGAGCAAATGACAGAGTGGGTGAGATGTTATCAACAAGCTTTATTGAAAATAAGAAAAAGTTTTGAAGCGAGATTAACAAGTTAAGGAAGCCTAGAGAACAAATGGATTTGTCAGTTAAAAATAGGAGAGTTATTAAATGGAGAGTTAGAGGTATTGGGAAGATGGAAGGAATATTTTGAGGAATTGTTAAATGTTGATGAAGATAGGGAAGCTGTGATTTTGTGTATAGGGCAAGGAGAAATAACATCTTCTAGGAGTGAGGAAGAGCCAGTTGTGAGTGTGGGGGAAGTTCGTGAGGCAGTAGGTAAAATGAAAGGGGGTAAAGCAGCCGGGATTGGTGGGATAAAGATAGAAATGTTAAAAGCAGGTGGGGATATAGTTTTGGAGTGGTTGGTGCAATTATTTAATAAATGTATGGAAGAGGGTAAGGTACCTAGGGATTGGCAGAGAGCATGCATAGTTCCTTTGTATAAAGGCAAAGGGGACAAAAGACAGTGCAAAAATAATAGGGGGATAAGTCTGTTGAGTATACCTGGTAAAGTGTATGGTAGAATTATTATTGAAAGAATTAAGAGTAAGACAGAGAATAGGATAGCACATGAACAAGAAGGCTTTAGGAAAGGAATGGGGTGTGTGGACCAGGTGTTTACAGTGAAACATATTATTGAACAGTATTTAGATAAATAAGGCTGAAGAGTTTTTTGTGGCATTTATGGATTTGGAAAAGGCGTATGACAGGGTGGATAGGGGGGCAATGTGGCAGATGTTGCAGGTGTATGGTGTAGGAGGTAGGTTACTGAAAGCAGTGAAGAGTTTTTACGAGGATAGTGAGGCTCAAGTTAGAGTATGTAGGAAAGAGGGAGATTATTTCCCAGTAAAAGTAGGCCTTAGGCAAGGATGTGTGATGTCACCGTGGTTAATATATTTATAGATGGGGTTGTAAGAGAAGTAAATGCGAGGGACTTGGCAAGAGGCGTGGAGTTAAAAGATAAAGAATCACACAAAGTGGGAGTTGTCACAGTTGCTCTTTGCTGATGACACTGTGCTCTTGGGAGATTCTGAAGAGAAGTTGAAGAGGTTGGTGGATGAATTTGGTAGGGTATGCAAAAGAAGAAAATTAAAAGTGAATACAGGAAAGAGTAAGGTTATGAGGATAACAAAAAGATTAGGTGATGAAAGATTGGTATCAGATTGGAGGGGGGAGAGTATGGAGGAGGTGAATGTATTCAGATATTTGGGAGTGGACGTGTCAGCGGATGGGTCTATGAAAGATGAGGTGAATCATAGAATTGATGAGGGGAAAAGGGTTAGCGGTGCACTTAGGAGTCTGTGGAGACAAAGAACTTTGTCTTTGGAGGCAAAGAGGGGAATGTATGAGAGTATAGTTTTACCAACGCTCTTATATGGGTGTGAAACATGGGTGATGAATGTTGCAGCGAGGAGAAGGCTGGAGGCAGTGGAGATGTCATGTCTGAGAGCAATGTGTGGTGTGAATATAATGCAGAGAATTCGTAGTTTGGAAGTTAGGAGGAGGTGTGGGATTACTAAAAATGATGTCCAGAGGGCTGAGGAAGGGTTGTTGAGGTGGTTCGGACATGTAGAGAGAATGGAGCGAAACAGAATGACTTCAAGAGTGTATCAGTCTGTAGTGGAAGGAAGGCGGGGTAGGGGTCGGCCTAGGAAAGGTTGGAGGGAGGGGGTAAAGGAGGTTGTGTGTGCGAGGGGCTTGGACTTCCAGCAGGCATGCGTGAGCGTGTTTGATAGGAGTGAATGGAGACAAATGGTTTTTAATTCTTGACATGCTGTTGGAGTGTGAGCCAAGTAACATTTATGAAGGGATTCAGGGAAACCGGCAGCCCGGACTTGAGTCCTGGAGATGGGAAGTACAGTGCCTGCACTCTGAAGGAGAGGTGTTAATGTTGCAGTTTAAAAACTGTAGTGTGAAGCACCCTTCTGGCAAGACAGTGATGGAGTGAATGATGGTGAAAGTTTTTCTTTTTCGGGCCACCCTGTCTTGGTGGGAATCGGCCAGTGTGTTAATAATATAATAATAATAATAATGTAAGTCGGTAATTCTACGTTTATTGCCAAAGAAAGTTTGATGATCTGTTAAACTTTGCCAGTTGACTAATTGTTATCCGAGGAAGGCTGAAGGTGGTGTAGTTAACGTTACCCAGAGCAGATAGGCATTGGTTGAATCTGTTGTTAAAATAAACTTAGGAAGGTAGGAACTGGTTGAACCTATCGCTGAAATGAACCTAGGAAGAGAGGAACTGACCTCCCAACTAGATATAAACTTGGTAACCTCGTACTGACTGCATCTTCTTTCCCACAGGACTACGACGCGTTGGACCTGCAGGAGTTTCAGGACTCGATCATGAGAGGCTGCGACTTCAACAAGGACGGCAAGATCAGTAAGAAGGAACTTACCATGATCCTGCTGGCCCTAGCAAAGCACGGTGCTGAGGATGACATGCAGACGTGAGAACCCCTACTAGTTCATTAACTTTTATATTATCATTTCTCGCAGTTCTAGAGTATAGCTCGTTAATCTCCTTATTCTCCGAGTAATATCTTCTAGATGAACACCTAACCTCGAGATGATACCATCTAGATGAGTCCTTAACCACAGTGTAGTATCCCAAGTTGAGCCTCTAAACTCAAAGTAATAACTAACAGGGGGTTCACTAAACTCATTTTGTTCTTTCAGTGAGGCTCGCGAAATACCCAGGTTTGTTCACTGCTCACAAGCTATTAATTAGGTTACTTAAAAAAATTTTTTTTTTAGCCTTTTCTGACAAATGAAATTCGATTTTCAACTCACCAAACTGAGGGTTCGAACCTATGACAAGAAAGTCCTATATCTAGCAGGCCAGTTTACTATTTAGCAAAGACTGAATAAAATTTACATTGCTAGGTGTATTTCTACACATCTTGTTTGGCGAGTTGTTTACAACTACGACCTCACGAGTCATTCATAAAAGTTCTTCCATTTCTAATTATTACTGAGAAAGTCTTCAGCGCAAATTTTTAATTGCTACTTTCTTGTTTTTATCAAGTTCAATTATCAAGTTCAATTATTGTTTGACGAAGCTCCTGGAGAGCGAAACGTTGAGACAATAAAATGTCACTTTAGATGCACTCGAGTCCTTTTACTTAACATATTATCGGTAATTCTACCAACATTAACACACTATTAGAGGTTTGGCAGAAGCAAGCTGGCGGCGGCTTCTGCGAGAATCTTTCTTACTGCTGCTTTGACAACGACAATGTGAAGTGTGTTACCAACAGTGATGGGTACTATTCCCCCATTCTTTTGTTATAAAACTTATCTATTTTACACCTGTTAGTTTTATGCAAATTACTGTGTACGCTTTTTTTGGTCACGATTGCTCGGCCACCATTGTTCTAGGTGATACCTACCAGGCGCGCTACTGTCCACCATCTGTTTCTAATAATGTTGGTAGAATTACGAACAATATGTTAGGTAAAAGGACATATGTGCAACTGCTGCCACATTTTTATGTGGCAGCGTTTCGCTCTCCGGGAACCTTGTTAAGTAACGGCTTGACAAAGCTCCTGAAGAGGGAAATGTTGCCACAATAAAATGTCGCATAGCTGCACGTGTGTCCTTTTTTTTTTTACCTCAGACCTATTTCTAGGTGGTTCCAGTCAGATAAGCCACTAGTAGGTAGGCGGTACCCAGTAAGAGATCCACTAACCACTTCTTTCCCCCTCCGCAGCAGTGGAATGGGTCTGGCAGCTAACAACCCACTAGCAGAGATCGCCACCATGGGCATGAAGGCCTTCAAGCTACAGAAACTACGAGTCCGCCACTTCGTTAACCGCACCCTGGGCGCTAACACCACTAGTCTCTCACACTAATTACCACTATCAAAAGTACTAATACCAGTCTCTCACACTACCACTAACAGAGGCACTAACACCAGTCTCTCACACTACCACTAACAGAAGCACTAACACCAGTCTCTCACACTACCACTAACAAAAGCACTAACACCAGTCTCTCACACTACCAGTAACGGACGCACTAACACCCGTCTCTCAAACTACCACTAACAGAGGCACTAACGCCACTAGTCTCTCCCACAAAAGACCACAAACGAGGCTAGAGGATGAAAAATAGAGAATATGAAGATAAATTTATATTCTGGTCTTACGTGCGAGGCTGGATGAATGTTATTTGACTTATTGGGGAGCTAAATCCGAAAGGATTATCCAGGGAATGAGGGGTAATCAGATTTGACCCAAGGAAGGGGAAGGTCTCTACAAATTTCTTTAATCAAGAAGCTTCCACCAGCAACATAGTACATCCCTTCTTGAAGGCAAAGTGAAGAAGAATAGTGAAAAGTGTGGAGAAAGAAGGGGGAGAAAGAAGGGGAGAAATGGATTCTTGCCTCAGGTGCGAGGCCGGTAATAAATTACATTAAGACACGAGAGAATAAATTGAGGTTGCCAAATGAAGAAAAACTTTCGTGTGAGAGTATTTTCTTTTTTCTTTAAAATTATGAGGATGTGTTCATAATGTTGTTCTTGCATGGGTCGAGACGCAGCTCCTGTGTGTGCTTTGAGTGTTTTTTTCTTTCACTTAGTTATTTCGAGTCATTGTTTGATGTCTTAAACGATGCCAGATGTAAGAAATTTCCCGCAGTTTACGCGATTAGATATTTTTTAATGAAATAGAGCGAAATGTAATACGTACATAATTCTACGCCATCTCTGATAATCTTGTGATCGTCATCGAAGACTTGGATCACTAGGAGAACGAACGAAAGATTTGTTTTAAGTGTGAGCAGAAAATATACAGCAATTTATTCCTTTAAACAAGAGTAGAAATGAGGGCCTAGGAAGAGTAAGAGAGATTTAATGGCTTCTTTCTAGTGCTCCTTCAAATCTGTACAACTTTATTTGTTTTGACAGAAACATGCCTGTTTCGGATAAGACTGGCTTGGCCTGGTCCCAAAAACCAAAATTATCCTTACAACCTGGTTTCAGGTTGTCAGCATAATTTTGGCCAACTTGTTAGGCTTGGAGAATTCCAGCCAGGCTCCTATCCTTAGCATTTATACTTAGAAAAGACAAGTGAAAGAATCTCGGCCACTGATACTTACACATTCCATGCCATTAAGCTGTCATGCTGATCGTAAATTATTAGGTTAACGAATATCATATAAACTAGGTCATCTTTACATTCTGGACAATTATTTTTGTGTTACAAACTTGATGGTTAAGGGTGAGATGAATTTGGGGTTGGGAAGTATTTTCTGTCTCCGCACATCCCTGTGACCTAACCATTGGTTCAAAAGATAATACTGGACCCTTTGTCTGAATGTTGATGCAAAAGATTCGAACTTGTAAAAAAAAATTCAATAGGAAAATAATTCGCGCAAATTAGCAATAATGTTTTATGTTGTATTACAAAAACAAATTTACTTAAATCAGCGTTCTAGGCATTAGATCTTATTGAACTAAATTCAGCAAGTTTATCTCCAAACGACAAGAGACTCGTTTCTTTGTTAACTTGCTTGGTATCGCCACAGTGGACAGCATCAGACACAGAGAACCTCCCTGGACCTAAATTCGTGTTTGGCAAATAGCATTATATTCACCAATTCTCTTCATTGGCTTTCTCACAACAAAAGTTGTATTACTCTCGTGTATATGTGTGTGGAATATTCAAATGGCTTCAGGAAGAAATCCAAATATTCTTCCTTGAAGCCTTTTTATCCACTTCTCCGAGGCTATGATGGGTCCCACAATTTACACCAGAGGTGGACCCCATCCTATTTATATATATAATATAATATATATATATATTTAAATATATATATATATATTTTATAATATATATTATATATATATATATATTACACACATCACACACACACACACACACACACACACACACACCACACACCCCACACACACACAACACACACACAATCGAGAGACTCAAGTCGTAAGATTCGAAAATCTTAAAAAAATGAATATGATTTCTTGGGACAGTTATGCAGTGGTAGTGCCAGACTGTCTCCATACCTTGTTGAAATAGTATTTTACTTCACTTTTTCTTCTAAATTTCTTACCTCATGCAAGCTAAAAATAAAATCTTGTGCTTTTTCATCTTGTCATGAACATCTTAATACGTATATATTAAACATTCAAAGCTTATTTTATGAAAATCCTTGAAATTGTGGAAATTATAATTGTTATTTACACCTGGAGATGAAGTAGACATAGACGAAATAGACTTTTTTTTGCTGTAGCTTCCATCTCAGGATGACGCGACACCCAGTAACGAAAGTTTATGTTTTGTATGGCTTTCGTACATTTCTAATATTCACCTGTACCTCAACTATCAAACTACGTAACCTAGTGATTATATGCATATATAATTTTGGTTTTCTTGTCGACGGGTGTGTCCTCCGTGGGTGATTGCTTATGTGTTTTCTTCCAGGTAATATATACCTGTTAAAAAGAACGGTGTGACACATTATTATCTTTTAGCAAACGACTCAACAACACGAGGATATTTGTATTTGAGGAAGCTAGGCAGAAAATTTTGTCTCGGGGTGAGTATGTTTACCTGACCATAATGGAAGCATAAGTGACTTGCTGAGGTAAGTGACTTGCTGAGGCAAGTCAGGACCAGCTACCTGCTTCATTTTGTTCAGCAAGATTCTGATCATTAAGTCAACGAGGATTGTGATATTTTTTTTTTCTCCAGCCAATGATAATATGTGGCTACATTTTCTTGTTACTTGTGTCTGTGTTCTAAAAAATGTCTTGTGAATACTGGAAATGAAAATTGTCTAGTGCTGATAGCAACGTTGCCAGACATTGGTACTGTAGTGTTCATCATTTCTCTGAGTGGCTTTTATTTCTCGTATGTTGAAATTTATATACAAGGAAAACAAAAGAAAATTTACATGTTTATCATTATGATACATATCACTGAGAACAAAATATTGCCTAACTTTGACAACGTTGTTAGGATCTGGCAACAATATGTTCTAATTACAAAATATTTAAATTCGAAATTAGTGCACTGTAAAGCGCTCTGAAACTATAATAAAAGAAAAATAGAATAAGAGTTGTTAGGTCTGTGAACTGAATAGTTTAATCTCATTTACTGTAATACAAGTTTTCAATAAATAAAAATCCTCTGTTAGAAAACCTCGTGATTGACCCTCTTTTCAGATACTCTTATTTCTCTTCCCCCCAAAATCTAAGCAAAACCCTCATATGAACCAAGGATATGCAATGACGAACTTCAACTTATGTATCTCCATAGGGCAGAAAATTTTAACATGGGTAAGATTACTGTCTTCGTCAGTGCGTCGGGCCTCACTGGCTTTGACCCATTATAATAATAATAATTATGTACATGCCGAAGTGATGTCAACGACATATCACTATTTAGAAATCCCTTATGCACCCAGGTACATATTTTACTGAACAGGGACAGCAAGTGTCTTAAAGAAACACGCCCTAATGTTTGCACCCGTTCCCAGGATCTAACCACGGACCTCAGTGTGTGAGCCGAGTGCGCTAGCAATCGAGCTACACAGCAAAACACACTAAATTAAAATCTGCCCGAATACTCTTAATTTTCGCTTTCCTGTAAGATGAGACTGACTCTGGAGCTGCGGGTAATGAGTAGGTATCCCGCTTCTACGGTGAACAGACTTTAGTATCACCAGGGATTCGGTGTTGGTCTTGCTGAATCAGTTTCAGCCGCAGGTTGTGCACTACGACAGTGATTTTATCATGGTTTCATGGTCAGTTCTGTGGGTCGAGACGCAGCCAGTTGTGAGATAGGGTTTCTTCGGGCGTATTAGTGCTTGACTTGCCTGTGATTAATGGCTAGCGTCAAGATATCACTTTAGGGCTCACCCAAATGATCCTGTGAATATGGTACTTTGATTTTGGTGGCTTATTGGTAAATGGGGAATAAGAGATGAAAATGTCATAATTTTGTTAATAATTTTAATCCCACCCCCATGACTCGTCAGAGCTACGACCAGGCCAGCTAACTGCCTCATTCTGCTAGATCCTCGACAATTATTCTCCTTTGTTCTTTTCCTTGAGAGCTTGCCGCCTTGGTTAGTTCTGTGGATCTTTCACCTCACCCTAACAAATACTTCTCAAATTCTTTCAAACGAATCCTTACATAAGGCTCACTACTTTCCACTAAGAAATTACAGCAACGTTTTGCCCTGCAGTTAAATATAACCAGTGCACTGTTCGACAGTAATAAACATGCTCTTGCACTCTTTGCTTAGTAAACCAGTTTTTGCACATTGTACGGCTATGTTCACAATATTTGTGCATCCTGTACACGTGGAATGTTCAAGCTGTATGGTGTCCCCAGGCTTGGTTGGCGATGCTCTCGCCTCGCACAGTGTCAATGGTTGGATCTCCGACACGAGTGTCGGAGTGTTTCCTTGCACTTGCTGTCCTTGTTCATTTAGCAGTAAGTAGGTACCTGGGTGTTAGTTTACTGGTGTGGGTCGCATCCTGGGGAGTACAAGATTGAAGGATTCCATCATCCCAATGGAAATAAGAGTCTCAATGATGCACTGACTTTCTCGAGTTATCTTGGGTGACTAACCCCCTGGGTTAAAAATCCAATCTAATCTTATGCTGCCATACCCAACAAAATTTACATTGCAGGACTGTCGACATTCATCTCCACAGTGACGATCTTATCTAATCCTACTGCAATCCAAGCAACGTGATAAAATTCACGCATGACTTATGTTCTTTCCTTCAAATCGCCTATCTGGCCATTAAAAGGAAATCTGTTACGTACTTCACTACAGTGCCGACAGTGCTTATAGTTTGGTGATCCAGCGAAGTAATATGCTTAGACAATACCTATGGGGTGCAGATCATCCCTCGTATTTTCGATAGTTTTCTTTATGAAGAAATGCAAGATTTCCTATCTGAAGAGAGGATGAGCATGTCATATGAATAGGCTCTAGAACATCTCATCCAAAAATGTCCACCTCATGTCTATCCTGTATTCTTGTGTGACCTGTAGTCTTGACTTCCAACA